CACAACGCGCTATCTGTGAAGAGGTATTTGGCAAAAAACAACATTCCAGTGATGGAACATCCACCGTATTCTCCGGACCTAGCACCGTGCGACTTTTTTCTCTTCCCAAAAATCAAGTCTGCGCTGAAAGGGACCAGGTTCGAGTCCGTGGATGCAGTGAAAGCAAAAGCGACGCAACTCTTGAAGAGCATAACACAAGATGACCTGCAGCACTGCTTCCAACAGTGGAAAATTCGCATGGAGCGGTGTAGGGATCGGGGAGGGGACTACATTGAAGGGGATAACATTTCGACTGTCTGATTTTTTTTTAATAAAGGGTTAGAGCATGAATCCGGTTTCTTTATTGCCACACCTTGTATATTTCTGCTAATATTGCTGATGTTGGTGCTCCCATAGCTAAACCATCTCTTTGTTTGTAATATTTTTGTTCATATTGAAAATAATTTTGGTCTAGTATAGTATTCATTATATGTGTAATTATTTTTTTGTATATATTATTAGTTATATTCATTATATCTTTACAATTACAAAAGACAAGTCCGTCCATTGTGACTATTTCAGTTTTCTCACTTGATGATTCACTAGCCTTACATGTTTCGATCCATTTGGACAACAACAGTTGTCATATCAAATACACATGTAATGTCCAAGTACACAATGTTCCATCTATCACTCACAACAGCCTTTCTGGTTATAGAAAACTGTTGTGATAGTGGTTTCCAAAAAGTGTTTGGTGCCTCTGAAGATGATCCAAATGGATCGAAACATGTAAGGCTAGTGAATCATCAAGTGAGAAAACTGAGATAGTCACATTGGATGGACTTGTCTTTTGTAATTATAACTGTTAGTGTGACGGAACAAAATGAAACAAATCAAATTCATTATATCTTTCTTTGGTATTGTCGCGTGTTGGGTGTATAACGCAACAAATAACTTCACGCCATATTGGATATAGCGAATTTATTGAACATTCACTCTTACAATTACACAATTTACAATCTCACCACTAGTGCCATCAGGAGTATCATGAATTATCACATCAAATCTTCCAGTCGTTCCGGTCTTCTTCCCGCGACTGCTGCTATATGTCAAATGCCTTCGGCAGCTGCTACATTTCAACTTACTTCGGCGGATGCTACATTTTAACTGCCTTCGGTGACTGCTGTGTTTTAACTGACTCCTTAGGCAGAGTGGTTCTCTTATAAACCCTCAGCCAGACAACGGAAAACGCCTCGCTTCCTTGTTGCCTGGTCGTCGTGTTTACAGGTGTTGCTGGGCAACGCTGTTGAGTTGTTTACTGCTGCATAGCAACCGCAGAATCCCCCACTATGTCACCGTGGGGGAGGGGGCGGAGTGCTGACTGGCCCGTCACCGTAACAGCGGCAGTGCTGTTACGCCACTGCTGGCGTGCGTCCTGCATAGCGTAAATACGTCACACTGCTCCCTCCTTAAGGCTGATTCATACAAATGACATATACAAATTTAATATTATTTGTAAATGGACATATAAAGGCAAACAGTGAAATGGTTTATGGATCGATACACCTGAAGATGGCAGCATACTGCCAAAACATGTAGTGTAGAAGTGGTAAATGAGATTGTATGCACTTGAAGACTGTTAATACATACACATTATGAATATGAAGATGAATCAGTGCAACAGGATGCTAAAATAGAACATTTCTATTGGCATCAGTCATTTCAACAAATTCAACAGAGGATGCAGTACATTGATGTTTCTGATCCGGCGTTAACAAATGAGGAATGAAACGAGCAGACATTATTTTCTTTTTCAAATCATCATCTAATATTTTATGTACTGTCTCTCAATTGATCCCTGTCATTTTTTCTAACATCCGAACACTCAAAGTTTGATGTTGGTCCAGACACTTTTGAGTGACTTCCATCAATTCCTCTGTTCTCTAAGTTGAAGGACAGCCTTTCCATTCATTGTCTTGTAATGATTTGCACCCTTCTTTGTACCTTTTATGCTATTCAAACATTCTTCATCATATGCACTTAACACTGAGATGTTTCAATAGCTGTTTTCTTTAATTTTACACAAAACTTAATTGCTGCTCTTTGTTCCATTTTTCAAACCTTTGACACGATGAAAAAACTAACCCGACGAAAACAATTGTAATCCTTATATGCATCAAAAATGTGCACATCATATAAATAAATAATCTCTCTTAACTAGTCTGTTCATCGCTGATATGTGGCATTAGTAGTATTACTGTTAAAGTGTCAGTTTCGGAACTTAATTGTCACACTGTGTAACTGGTAGAACATCAACAAAACATGCACCAGACACATGCACACAGATAAAGTAAAAATGTCATTATAATCTAAAAATAACATACGAAGAAATATTTTAGAAGCATTTTAATCCAACATTTTATACACCTGATGATGGCCAGTTAGGCCAAAACACATAGAGCTGTATAATAAGAAGAGATGAAGACGGTGAAATGTGAATATTAATATATCGACAAAGTTGCACAATGACGGCAAGGAGTGGGAGCATGAATTTAGAATACACAATGTAACAGGATGCTGCAGTATAATATTATTGAGTACTCCTGTTGCATTCCATAAGCCTAAAACTTACTTAGTTGTAAGGAGATATTTGATAAGTTGGTAAGGTAAAAGAGTTTTGCAGAACATAGAAATAGGCAGTAAACTAAGTTAGTAACTTCATTACTTTGTTACATTTACCAAAATGTGTGTAGCACATGGAGAGACTGAACATCATGGTCAGGTGGGTAGCATGTCTGATTTGTATTTGAGGGGTACATAGTTCATATCTTGTCTAAGCGATCAGTTGTTCTGGCTGAGGACTTTCGTGGTTTTCTTCAGTTCCTCCAGGAACATTCCAAGATAATAAGCCATGACTGATTCCTTCCACTAGATGCTTTTCACTTCATTGTTCACTTTCTGCTGTGGAGTTTGAGCTAAAGTCGATATGCTCCGTGAACCATGGTGCATCATATATTGTGTAGGCAACCTTGCAGAATAGAAGTTCTATGTAAGTATATTTGAATGTCCCATTGGGATATGAATTCAGAAGTATATTGTGTATATAATCTAATAACTTTCTAATGACTTTCCATAGTGGATGGAGTACACTGACAGCATTAAGGAGATAAATAAAAAACACCTTTAGAAGTTATTTTTCAAGAACATTTCACGCCTTTTCTAACTTGGCATAACCTGAAGAATATGTGATATTTTGTTGGGCTATCTGTGTGATTGCTTACAATTCCTAGTTTCAGAGCATGTGCTCTTGGATGTTAACATCATGGTTTTTAATGCAGTTCATAATCTTAACAGTATTATATGTTCATACAGATGTAAGAGTATTATATGTTCATACAGATGGAGACAGATGGTGTGTCTTCTGGTAGTGAAGCTAGCACACCCACTCCTGGGGCAAGCTCCCCTGTTCCAGTGGCTCCTGGATCACCACCACTGATCAAGCAGCCATTCCCCAAGACCGCTGTTGGAACAGGCCTCGCTGCTAAATGATACTGGCTCTAGCATAAACTAAAGTAAGTTGCAGTTAGAGCTTGCTTACATGTCTAAGCTTGAAAATAGATTTAAACATGTATATAATGTTTTTAATTCCTGCTTAGTATTCTTGTAATGCCTGCTTACTTAATGTACTCCCCTTGTTTCATAACAATTTTTTAATTGGTCAGTGGATTTTTATGAAAATTTCTTTGAATATCATGACACTTCCATTTATTGCCAATGTTAAGATTGGTAGAGCTGTACCTTCACTCCCCGACGTGTCTTCATGCTCTCCCCCCCCCTTTCTAGTTGTTATTGATTCCTCAGCCAGGTTATAAAACATGTATCTCATTGTTTAAATGTGGACTGTTGCATCAAAAGTGTAGGAAATGAGGGTATGCTTTTTCACTTTTGTAGTTTTGACACAAATAGGGAGTTGGTGTTATGAAAGGTGGTATCGGAAAGTTCCCAGGCTGTTATTGTTGTAACAGCCTCAGCGAAAGAAGATGGGGGGAGGCCAAGGTCATACTTCTGCAAGCCTGTTTCATCAATCTGCCACTGTTGTTTTTACACAAGTGCTTTTTCGACTTCATGTTTCGTTTTGTCCATACACAGTATTATTGTTATATAAGTCTTGGTAAGCTTTGATGAACATGCTCTGTGCTCCTTGGCTGTTAATACTCCAGTGAGACTTCATTGGCCTTCAGAATATAATTGCATATTTGTATTTTCATTGGCTGGACTGAATTATGAATCCTTCTGCTGAACAGATGGCTGGTGAACTTTCTACCATTTATAATCACTTCTCTGTTAGATGTATTCTAGTGTACGTGGTGTGTCCAGGTTCCATCAGGATTAATTTTTTTTTTAAATTTTGCCCTGCAGTGCCATCTGTTGGCAAGTTATGGTGTTAAGAGTCTTGAAGTTTGAGCTGTGGCTGTATATAATTTCAAAGCGCAAGCATCGCTGCATCATGTGTTCTGACCTTGAATGTAACAGTACTGTTCTGACGCTCATCACTAAATGGCAGTTGAACAGAGCCAACATCAAATTTTGTTTGAAGCTAGGCAAAACAGCCGGAGAAGCGTACAGAATAATGAAAAGTGTACGGTAGTGATTGTTTGAGTCGCTTGAACATTTTTTGAAGGTATGCTGTATTTCATGACGGCAAGGAGGACATTGAAGATGCTCACGTCCATCAAAGCTGAGAACGAGTTGCACTGAAAAAAATGTGAAAAAAAAAGCGACCGAAATCCTTGCATCAGACAGACGTGTTTCTGCAAGACTTATTGAGGAACTTTTGAGAATACCAAAAAGTACTGTGCATAAAATTTTGACTGAAGATTTGGACAAATGGAAGGTCTGTGCGCAGTTTGTACCACACGTGCTTTCAGGTGATGAAAAACATGCCAGAGTAGGAACACTTCAAAGACATGTTACAGTCGGCCCAAAGTAATACAAAATTTACAAAATCGATTGTTACTGGTGACGAGACATGGTGTTTTCAATATGAGCCTCTCACAAAGTTTCAGAGTGCAGCGTGGTTGAGCCCAAAGAAGCTGAAACCAAAGACAGTGCGCATGCAAAAGAGTTGATTAAAGACACTCCTAACCATTTTCTTCTATTCCAAAGGAATCATTCACAAGGAACTTCTGCCAGAAGGTCAAACAGTGAATTCTGATTATTATCTTGGAGTCCTCAATCGTTTGTGGGCAGAAATCTTTGAATTCGACATGAATATTGAGAGCAAGGTTCCTGGTTGCTCCTCCACGACAATGCCCCACCCCACAAATCGAAGATCATGTGCGATTTTTTGGCCAGAAAAGGATCACAGTCCTTGATCATCCTCCGTATTCACCAGATTTGGCTCCAGCAGATTTCTGGTTGTTCCAAAAAGTTAAGTTGGCGATGAAAGGAGACCATCACAACACAATCCAGGACATCCAAAGGGAATGTACTGCAGTTTTAAATGCAATTCCACAAAAGGAGTACAGTGACTGTTTTCGATAACTTTTCAATCGATTCCAGCTATGTATTGATTCAGAAGGAGACTATTTTGAATAAAAAGAGTGAAATTTTGAAAATAATTTACGTCTTATATTTTAAATGAACACAGTCCTAACAGAACCTGGACACACTGTGTATGACTACTCCATCTCTGAAGCACATGAGTAACAAGCTGGGATTTGAGCTGTGGCCATAGGCTACCAGTTGCAGTTTAAAACAAAACATCAGCTGCAGAAAATCTTTTATTTTGCTTTCAGTTTCATGTTAATAATTAATGAACCCGTTGCAGATAGGTGTGTGATAGTTTGATAGGTAATAAATGCACCTACAAATTTTGTGTGAAACTTCTTTGTGCATTAACAATTAATGATCATGTTCATAGACCAGAACTGTGGTTGCTGTATTGGGCAAATTTAATGTGACTGGACTCTGCTAGTGGACATGCACAAAGAAAAGTAATCCCTCATTTTGCCTCCCTGTGAGTTATTCTGTGTTTGTGGCTGCATACACATTGAACAGTGGGTCAGTCACAAAAGAAATGAACACTTTGCGGGTACTTGTTGCCCTGCCTAGTAAAGAAGAATGGGGAGTGAATAGTTGCAAGTTATCATTCCTCGAAGGATTGGCTTGTAGAATGATGAATGATGAACCCTGTGGACCTGTGTATTTTACAGATTTTATGCCACTTTTCATGGTTACTGATTTTTATTGCATGGCTAATAATGTTTCATTGCATCTGTTTACTGTTTGATGTTACTATAGAACACAAATTGTGCTTTTTAATTTCAGGTAATTTTTATTTAGGTTAGCAACAAAGTGCAAGTGGTTGGATTTGAAAGGTGGAGTCTGTGGAAGTAACCAGGTGATAAAAACAAAACAAAGCAATTCGTGATTTGAACTTCAGGAAGCTACATCAGCGTTCCATATAATAATTTCTTTGGTGAAATTATTTTCCTGTGTTCTGATTCATCTTTGAACATGACGTTTTAAGGGATATCTTGCCTTTATTACTATCATTAACAACTTATTTTGTGTTACTAGAAATTTTAGTCTTAGCAAAGAGGAAGAAGGAAAACTTGACCTGAAATATGTGTTGAAGTTCATGATGAGACATTACACAAATACTTGCAAGAAAATATAAGTGCACCTTTAGATATTTTTCACAAACAATTAAAAATTAATGTGGTATATCTAGAATGCAATAAAAATAATGATGTTAGGAAAGATTTTTAATTTTGTAAAAACTTGCAAATGGGACAAACTTAGTTTCCTTTTTTTTATGTGATGTTGAACTCAGTCACAGTAAGAAGATATAATGGCATCTTCAAAGTAAAATATTGATTGTTGAGGCCTAACATAATTATACTATGGATTGATACTTCTCTGTAGTGTGTGAGAATGTGAGAAGGTTGAATTGCTTTGATTATTTACATTAATATTGTACAGTGTAATTTAGTTATGGATAAAATAACTTTTTAAAACAGCAACTGTTACTTTTTGCAACTCAGTATTTAGGATACTTTGCCTACAAAAATGGGATGTTGTGACTAGGCTCACTCAGGCTCATCATTCCCCATTTGCTGCAGATTTCATCATGCGAAGCCAAGTTTTCCCATGTTATTCGCAATGTCTGGTATGGTCTACTGGGAAGGAAATCTTTGTCTTCATGTCATCAGTGTCTGGGGGTCATTTAAGATGCAAAGTGTTTATTATGAACCTCTGCACAAAGAAATCTAGTTTAGTGGCATACCCACATCTTCAAATTTACTTCATTATAGTCATACTTCAGAGATTCTTAGCCCCAACAGACACGATAAAACTTGTAAACATTGCTGTTATTTACAAAATTAAACTTTGCAAACCATAGGATACGCTTTTCTCGTTTCCATGCATTTGGCTCTGCATTTGATATCCCATGTATCAATGATGCTTATGAGCTGTGAATATCACACAAGAAACTCCCAAGTTTTGTGGACCTGACACACCAAATGAGGGCAGTGCAGCTTACTGCTCCATTTTCACAGTGCTTAGTTTCATTCATACCCATATATGGATCATTTTGTTTGTTTATGTTGTCAGTTCAGCTTGCTCCCATAGAAAAATAGTGAGATGAGTTTATTGTGTGCATTGTCTTGTATTTAAATTTGTGTGAAGTTGATTCCCTGAATTTATAAATTGGAATGGCTGTGTGTTCTGTTGAAGAAAATGTGTGGTATTCAATATGTTTTGTACAATTTTAAAATCAGGCAGTATTGTGAAATTTCAGTGTACAAAATGCTTCAGTGAAGTGTTTTACAAGAGAAGGTGAACAGTCTGTCTTCTTGATTTAGAGAATTGTAAAAAAAAGAATTGTGACACTTGTGCTTTCATGAGTACCATGTAGGATGCTGTCACAATTAAAACTAATTTATGTAGAGTGGAGAAGCAGTGATTGATAGTCATGAAACATTATTATTTGTATCATTGTATCATGATCATAAGAAAATTTGGTAAGGAGCTGGAGTGCACTTTCTAACCAGAGTGCAAGCTATCTGAAAGAGATGTATGTATGTACAGATCTGCAATATATCAAGGTTCATAATGCAGCACAGTTTTGTATGCAGGTATAAATATGCATGCAACAGTGACAGGCCCATATCTGTTTATGAAAAGAACATTTCATACCCAAGATGTATTATAATATATTATAATTATTTTCAACCACTGAAAGAAAGTTTTGTTAGAAAGAATGTGTTATATTATGTACAGGATTATGTAAATGTTCTTATGAGGCGACTCTTGTATAACTTTCCAGCATAAGTGTGCAGAATGGAAATATGTGATAACCACATCAGCATTGGTGGGGGATATGGATTTGGAAGTAGACAAAAGTACAGCTGAAGGGATATGATTTACACATTAATAACAAATTATAACTTATATTGACATATTAATTGGGTTAATTATTTTTAGATATGGTTTCAATTACAGAACTTGGACTAATGTTTTAGTTATTAGTGATGGAAAGTATATCATTGAATTGACACAAATAACATGCTGAAAGTATTACAAAGAGATGAAATTGCAGTTGGTCACTTTATGCATGAAGTACCTGCAGATGCCAATATTTGTGACATGTAAAGTGAAACACTTCTGTAAAATGTTTGTGCATTGATTTTTTTTAAGGTTATTCATGGGAAGATTAATTCATACTTCAAAAACCAAAGTTGCTAAAGACATTTACCTGAAGTGTACATTTATCTAAACATAGATTTTCATATTCACATCCTGTCAGTGGCTGTTGAAACATGTTGAGAGACTTAAATTTAAAAGATACATAATATAATAAATTATTTTGTTTATGGAAGTGAACAGTTGAATAATTCTTATTACTGGTGTATCTCCTTTATCTGCAGTCACTTTTCATGTACATAGGAGTTGGGTTCATTTATTTGTTTTATATATATTAGTACCAAGGACATCTGTTCATAGAGTCTTGTGTTTTCTTGAAAACTGCACAGCACAGTAGCTGCAGTTGTTCATAGAGAATGTGAGTGTATAAGTCTTAAGATGTGCACTTACACTATACAGTCATTATTTTTTAAGATTAAGTAATGTATTGAATTTAGCTGGTAGCATTATATATTATAGTAACAAATTTATATTTATAAAAAATAATTGAATCAGAGAATACAGAATATGTACTCCATAAATATCATACAGCTATATTACTATTATAATAGATTGAAGAAGTATGTTAGAATAATTTATTGTATTAGATTCTATTTTCAAACTGGTATTGCAGAGATATTGCTGTTACTAAGTCATCATTATTTACAGTCAGAGTGTCTGTACAATCCATATTCATTTACTTCTGGACAGTGTTTTGAAGATGGAATCTTATGTAATAATATAACAGTTTTCTCTTGGATAGGGGGATAGATGTATTTTCTAGTTGTTATGTTTCTGTTCCTCTCTCGTGACATATTTTGGGAGTTCCTTACACTGGATAATTATTTGAAAATTATTAAACAATAAAATGTGCCTGTTTTAATGCATTCTGTTAGTGTTAACTGTGCTGGAAAGTGTAAATATATTTCATTAGGAAGAGGGGGAGAATACTGGTGAGGTAACCTAATGCAGAGTTTTGGGGAAAACATCAGAATTCTGACTTTCACTTCATTCCAGCAGTAAAGATACATATTTATTTGCTATAATCCAATATGTTTGCAACTAGCTGCATTTTACTTTGGTGCATTGTGCAGATAAGGTGATCAAATCAAAATGGGGAATGAGAGAGTCTGTAGTTAGAGGTTATCATCTATTCAGGACCCTAATAATGACCGTGATAGTAAGGATTTATTTAGCCTGTCTGACTTGATATCCATCCTTGTGTGATCTTGTGGCTTGTCCAGTGAATTCAATTCAATTCATTTATTTCATCCATAGCTGTAGAAATTACAATTGGACATGTCAGATAACAACAACATTTCATCAAGCATAACATTCAAAGTACATGAATATATATGAATATGAATATGTGTTCTGATTTCACCTGTATGTTGCAAGGCTTGTGTTTTGTAAATAACTTCAGAAAAATATTTTTAATTAAGTGTGTGATTCTTACTTAGTTTCAGTATAAATCATATATTCGAGTACCACAGTGAATATTGTACTCTTCCAAAAGACAGATTTCCCATAAAACGCTTTATGGATGTCAGTAATTGGACAGAAAAATAAGTCTTAATATCTGCAAATTGTAAACTAATGACAGACCAGACAGACTTTTCTTCTAATGACACTGCCAGAAATTAATGGATTAAATTCACTGTTCTACAGCTTACACATGCTCTTTTCTGGGTAACAGTGAAACCAGAAGTGATCATCTCTTGTCACAAGGCTGCCTAATTTACAAAACTGCTGGAGTGGTGTAAATGATTTAGATGCTGTTTTAAAATTCCAGTCATTAGTATAACATTGGTTTATGAAGAACAAAAGCAAATTTTTAAATTTCCCTCATACACAGATTCAGTTCTATTTAAATTCTGTACAAATAATGAGCTAGATGACTGAAATTAGACAGAGACTGCTACATATAGAGGATATATTGCACTACATAAAACTTCCCCTTTCTTTCTGTGGACATCTTCCTTCCTATTATTTGTTTTTTTTTAATTGCTATTGGGGTGGGACTAAGTCCCTTGTGCTGCGGCCACTTCTGACCTATTGTACCAGCCCCAGATGATACGTGAGGGTGATTTTGAAGCAGTTGGTGGAATGAAGATTGGCAGGGGAAACCAAAGTACTTGGAGAAAACCTGCCCCAGCGCCACTTTCTCCACCACAAATCCCACTTGACCACACCTGGGATCGAACCCGGCCGCCACTGTTGGAAGCCAGCGACTAACCGCTTGAGCTATGGCGAGGCCCTTCCTATTATTAGTAGTATCACAATTAATTACAATTACTGTGTTCATATTAGGAGCATGCACTGTTCTGAAGCATCACTTCATTTTAGCAGGAATTTTTCTTTTCTCCAGTTGTCTCTGATATTCTGGGAGGAGTTATTACATTCATACTGACCAAATCTTAGCTTTATATGTTGTTTGCACAAGTGTTGTAAAATGAATACATAATGGGAAGGTTGTGCACATCAGTATTCATGTTTCATCTTCTGGTATTGGGATTCTACACTAAGAGTTGTCAGGTTAAATTTTATTTTGGCCCATGTTGGTCTACTGTAGACCAACTATACAGCAACCTCACATGCTTTCTCATGAAGTATAGGTCTCATTAATGTCTAAAAATTTTGCAACTTTCTTTGAGGTAGCATGCACACCCAGATATACCAAAAAGTAAGTAAAGCTATCCCTATACCAGGCCGTGAAGGCCCATAGTGTTGTGAGACATTGAGGGTCCCACATTATGTAGACAATCAGCTCAAAGATGGCGGTAAGGTTGTCAGCCTTACGCGCCGGCTGCGCTTTACTCCCCAGGAAAATTATTTAATTAATTCCTGGTACTCATTTCTGTTAGAGGCTAAGTAAACCCCAGTGCCTAATATCATATATGAGAGTACTATTTGTACTGTTCATTGCTTTCACTACACAAGATTATCTATAGCAGATGCACATAACAATCCATGACAAATTTAAGATGGCAAACAAAGTGTATCTTAGAATTACTGTTTTTTTTTACTTTGTCCATTGTCCAGTATTCTAAAAACTACAGAAGCCAACGTTTCGCAAACTGGATCTGTAGGGTCCCTTAGAAAGAGCTAACCTCAATCACTGGACATCCCATGTCATAACTACAGATGTATAAATACCTGAGACCAGGCTTTGTTGAAGGGAAAATATACAATAGAAATTGTAATAAAGCATACACAGACCTGAAACTAAGATAGAATGGCAGGTGAAAAATTTATGCAACAAACCTAGTCCAAAAACTCAGTATTTCTGAATCTTACTCATATATACCATTGTCAGAACCTTTTAGAGTCTATGTATATTTTTCCATTTGCACAAGACTCAATGTAGATAGGTTTACTGAGTGAATGTATTCCTTTTGTAGGCTTAATTTTAAAGCGCTTCTGCTTTTTATATGGTTAAAGGCCATGCGTTACCTTGTCACTCTTGATCTCACAGGGCGTAAAGTTCAATCAGTCGAGTTTTTTTTTCAAGCAAAACTATGTGTCAAAACTGTTAGTTTAATAAATACATCAGACTAGTCATTCTCTGATTTCATACACTAATTCTAATGGTCTGCAAGTTGCCACCACTGGTGATTTTTTTGAGGGGGGTGATCTTCCAGTTAAGGAAGACAAAGAACTTCATGCTAAATTCAGTGAATATGGTTGATGGGATGCAATGTTTTTTTTACTAGAAATATGCTTGTGGACGGTACTGAGAACATATACACTGAGTTCTGGCAGAGGGACTATTCCCAGACTTGAGTTAAGACTATCTTACATATTCTATGGAATATACCCACCGATGTCACCACTTTGACAGTTGTCAGTTTTGTATTTCATACAAGAATGACTGATTCATAAGTTCTTACTCCAACAATTAGTGTGTGCCCTGGGATGTTAGCCATCTTTAAAGGAACAGAACCAAACAAATGTTATCAAACAGATGAGCTTTTCATCCCCAAATGCTGCTTTTAGTACTTTATGGGGTTCTTTGCTTCTAACCTAAGTTTCATTCACACTTTGATGAACATAAGAGGAGCGTTCCATATATAATGCCTCCTATTTTTTAAAAGAAAACTACAACAGATACAGAAAGCATAATAACCCGTTAAATAGAGCAAGATTTCAGCTACTTACAGTTATTTTTCCACATAATCACCACCATTCATTATGCAATTTTGCCAGCGATGAATAAGAGCCTGTATGCCACACCCGTAAAAGTCTGTGCCAGCTGAGGCTAGCCACTTTCTTACAGCTGCAATGACAGCATCGTCTGGAAAATGTTGCCCACATAGTCCATCTTTCTTAGGCCCAAAGAGATGGAAGTCTGAAAGTGCTAAACCGGGGCTATAAGGTGGATGTGGTAGGACAGTCCAACCAAACTTTGCAATGTTCGTGGTGGTCGCCAAACTGGTATGGGGTCTAGCGTTATCGTGTTGCAAGTGAAAGGTTGTCTGCTTCTCTGGCCCGACTCGGGAAATGCGGGCTCTCAGCTTAATCAGTGTCGTCGTGTAGCATTCAGAATTGACAGTCTCTCCAGGCTCCAGGAAATCCAAGAAAATCACCCCCCGCCTATCCCAAAATACCATGCACATCACTTTCCCTGCTGATGGCTGTGTCTTGAATTTCTTTTTTCTTGGGGAATCCGGATGTCGCCACTCTATGGACTGTCTTTTGGATTCCGGCTCATAGTGGTGACACCACGTCTCATCTCTGGTGATGATGCTGTCCAGAAACTTGTCACCTTCAGCTTCAAACTGGTGCACCAGGTCCTGACAAACTTCAATTCGATGAGTTTTGTGGTCCCCTGTAAGCATCCGCGGGACCCACCTGGAACAAACTTTGTGATAATCCAGCTTCCCCAACATCGTTTCCAATGCATTACAGCCGATATTAAGCCATGCACACAGTTCCCTGGTTGTTATCTGCTAATCTGTACGGAGGAGGCACTGTTCATTGTGAGAAGTGGCATCTGAATAGGGACGCCCAGGGTGTGGCTTGTTGTGCACTTCACTTTCGCCACTGTTGAAATGCACTACCCACTGAATCACTGTGCTGACATCCACTGTATTGTCTCCGTACACCTTTAGCAAGTGTAGATGGATGTCAATGGGTACAATTTGTTCGTCAGTGAGAAATTCAATAACACATCTCTGTTTCATATGCGCTTCTATGTCAGACACCATTTTGGTAGACTGCTCTGCTGTCTCTATCTGTCGCACGACAACCAGACTAACAGTACATTGGCGGGAAGGTTCAACCTTTACTACACCACCAACATCCATCTCAGACGTTACATATTAACACAAAAAAAAAATAGGAGGCATTATTTACGGAACGCCCTTCGTATATTACTCAATTTTGTCAGTAGTTCTGCAGTCTGATACATTTGATAAAATTATTTGCAGAAAATATTTCTTTCATGACATAACATGGCATCTTCCTGCTGGTGGGTGGAGATAGTCACATATATGTGTTCCTTGAAACAAATTCAGTCTCTAAACATCGTGATTACCGATTGTTACACTGACTGCAGATTCTAGAATTATATCATTTGTTTCTTCTGTTACTGTGAACTGCTTGAGTTGGTATTGTGAAAGTAAAATTACTCATTAGGGTGTGCATGCCATCATTAGAACATACTTGCATGCCCCATTATTTTATCTGTGCATATAATAATGTTGTGTCACACACACATATATCAACATAAATGGCATCACCAGTCCCTTAATGAAGGCTAGTAATGCTGATGTCCTGCACTATATCCTATAATACGTTTTGTTAAGAAATTAGGATATATAAAATATATAGTTATCTCTTTGTCCAAGTCTTGGTTGGACTGCAGATCATTCTCTGGAAAGGAATTTCCAGAATATAGTCTGTAAGTTGTTCTGGTGGAATATTTTACCCGGCTTTTACTTTTCAGGCTTCAAGTAGTTTTTTTAAGATAGATATTCACCTCTCTCCCCACCCCAAATTCAGTGTGGGAACTCCTTAGTTCTGTAAAACTCAAAGTTCTTTCTAGACTTATTTCAGTTTATAGCAATATTTCTGTAAGTTCAGCTTTCAGTTGATTGTGTTTTGTGACAGTACCTTAGTTCTTTGAATTCAGGTAAAATGAAAGATGTCTACACAGAATACCATTTTGAATGGAAGCAAGAACAATTTAAAGATTCCTTCAAAATAACATCTCTGAAGTGCTTGACAGAAATGAATGAACTGGTTAAAACTGAGTTTCTATAGAAATGTGGATTCCATGTGTAATGGATTTGTCATTTTAATAATGACACAGGTTACTTCCAAACTAACTGTACTCTTATGTCCATACAATGGCAATGACACCATTATTATATTTGTTTGCTTCATTTTGTCTTCATTTCATTTTCAGAGTAATTAGTCATTTGTGAAATATCACAAGACTTTGTATACTAAGGTGTATTTAAAGATGAAATGGAAGTGCATTACATTATTTATTATTGTATATGAAACATTTATTTTTATAAACCACACATTTGATCCTATCCTATCTGGTCACAGCAAATACATTTACAAGGGTGGCTCAAGGTTAGCCTGGACTTAGAAAGTAAGTAAAATAAAGGTGTCCCTGTAACAGGCCGTGGAGGCCTATAGGGTTGTGAGATGTTGAGGTTCCCACATTTTCTAGACAATCGGCTGATAGATGGTGGGGAGGTTGTCAGCCTTATGTACCGGCTGCCCTTTACCCCCAAGAATATACCAGGTACTCATTTCTGTTAGAGGCTGTTGAGCCCAGGGCCATAGTGTGGCTGGGATGATTAGGTCAATTGAAAAAAAATCCAATGACCTCATTGGGACTTGAAACCCGCAACCTTCCAGCTTGTAGCACAGTGCCTCAACCAACTATGCTAGCAGACTTAATCTTTACAAAAATCTCATACATGCCAGAATCACTTTTTGTCCGTCTACATTTACACACTTTTGCCATCACCATGGCAAGGCACTGAAGCTGGCTTCATAAGATGATGTAGCCAGTTCAGGACACTGCATTTGAGTTCATC